AAAATGACCCTTTTTTGATCAAAATGCATGGGTTAAAGTGTGGCAAAGTCATGGAGAAAAAAGTTTTGAACTTTCCACCAAGGTGATTTATCATTTATTTATTAATTACAATCAAAATGAATATTAAGTTCTAATTACAACACATATCCAGTGTGAATCGTTGGTGTAATCATTGATAATATTCTTATATACATATTGATTTCAACTATAAGTTTGGCTATAATTCAAAGTTGTCAGGAATTGACACCAATAAACAGAAATGTTTTTCAATAATCCGTAGAACAAACGGTAAGAGTTTTTGAAAATAACATATACTAAGAGTTCTAAGATGTAGTTATATCTATTTCACGGGTTTTTTTGACTTCGCTCACGCGGGAAAACCGCGCAAAGGTTCTTGGGTAATGATGGAACTTTAAAGTTTTGTGTTATCATATAAACTCTGATCGGCCATGTTGTAAATATGTGGTGGTACATCATTCTGTACGTTATCGTACAAATTCTGATCGGCGATGTTGTGATTATGTGCCCGTACATCATTCTGGAAAGCAAGAATACGTTTACTAGTTAGTTAATGTTGTGTATTTATGATGTATTTTTTTAATATTTCAAGCGGCGTTCTACCTCATATGCTGGGTTTTCGTATTCTTGCATGACTGAGTAGTTCATTTTCCCTGGAGCTGTCGACATTTTTGGCTTATGGGACATGTTATGGGTCTTTGCTGCTAGAGTAGAGTTTGTTGATTGATCTAACTGACCTGATTTGAATAAAAGATGATTGATTTTAAAAACAAACAAATAGAAGAAGAAGAAGAACTGATTACAGAGAAGAACGACACAATACAAAGGTAATGGAGCACAAACAAACAGAAAACAAGCAACAACAACAACAACAACAACAGCAACGACAACTACAACAACAACGACAACAACTATAACAATAGAAACTACAACAATAACAACGACCACAACAACGACAACTACAACAATAACAACAACTACAACAACGACAACAACTACAACAACAATAACAACTACAACAACAACAATAACAACGACAACAACAACGACAACAACAACGACAATTACAACGACAATAACAACAACTACAACAATAACAACAACGACAACAGCAACAACAACAATAACAACAATAACAACGACAACGAAAATAACAACAATAACGACAATAACAACGACAACAAGAACAACAATAATAATAATAACAGAAAATAAAACAGGGGCAAGCAAACAAAGAAAACAGTGCGCAAATAGCAAATCAAAACAAACAAATACCCGTCATAACCATAAACTCAACAGCACAAATCAAACAACAAAACTGCAACAATTCTTAATACACATTTTCATAATATGCTTTTTTTTATTATTTTTTCAAAATAACTGGTTGTGCTTTAATAATAACGTGTTTGTATTGTGAATAAATGTCGAGAGCAATACAAAAACGCGGGGCACGAATAGCGAAGTAGTGAGCGGATCAAACCCTGTTCGGTTTCGCTTGGAAGATATCATTTTTTTATCGACTGAAATGTCTACTGATATCTCATTTGATTTAAAGAATATTCGAATTCTTTTRTTATAATATATATCTTATAACTAACAATCTTCCTCGTGTTGTTGCTTTAAGATGGAGTTACGTTTATGTCACAAACAGAAATATAYTTACAGTAATTATATTAACTTACAAAAAATATCATTACTTAATTTAAGTTCCCACTCATTTTAACAACTTAGACTCACCTCAGGTGACGCGGTATGGTTGCTATCATAGTTATATGTTGCTATGCAATACAACTTAAGAATGAACCCGTTTTGAAACAAAAAACACTAGTATGAGCACTTTACATTAAATAATTATCTTGATTAGTTTAATCACTCATTATATTATTATTATTAAGACTATTGTCTTACATTATTATCATTGCTATTTTAGTACTAGTACGAGATATAAAGAGTAGACTCGGAAAAAGAACCGAGTCGACTCCGAAAGAGAACCGAGTCTACTCCGACAGAGAATCGAGTCGACTCCGAAAAAGAACCGAGTCGACTCGGAAAAAGAACCGAGTCGACTCCGACAGACAACCGAGTCCATTCCGAAAAAAAACAAGTCAACTCCGAAAAAGAAGCGAGTCGACTCCGACAGACAGCCGAGTCGACTCCAAAAAAGAACCGAGCTGACTGCCAGTATCTTATCGAAGGGAGAAATCTTAGATATTCTCGGAACCCCTTCATATTTCCAATGTGGAATTTACCTGTTAGAAAAATTGAAATCTCAAAGAGAACGCATAGCTGTTAGTAGTTCATGAAGCATGCAATATCAAAGGTAGTCAATCTACAGTAGAAATTTATCCCTTTTTGATGTAACACTCACCGGCCAGTTTAGGTGCGACATCTTCTAAAAGAAATTAAATGATTATTTTGAATCATCAGAATCATTATTAAGTATTATAAGATTATAAGACGTTATTAGTATTACAATTAAAATTACAGCTGATATGCTATGATGGTTGTTCATTGTTGTATTTCATTTTTATGACGCCCAAGTTTAGTAAGAAGAATATTGGCAGTTCATATCACTTTATTAAGCTTTTTTAGTTAATGTTTAATAACTAAGATGGACTTTCAATGATTGCATTTGATGTTTACCATAATTTTAGATGCTAATGTATAATTTACGAAATACTGGCTGAACGTTAGACGTTCCCATGTGACATGATGTGAAGATTAACTAAGCTTTAGCTTCCGCTAATTTCTTATTATGCATACCATACCTTAATATTTACCAAGCTTACGATTCAATTTACTTATTATTTAACATATCAGACCTTGTTATTGCTAAAATAATTATTATAAACCACCGTGAAACTAACCAATCAATCAATCAATCAATCAATCAATCAATCAATCAATCAATCATTCCAATCAATCAATCAATCATTCCAACCAACCAACCAACCAACCAACCAACCAACCAATCAATCAATCAATCAATCAATCAATCAATCCAACCAACCAACCAATCAATCAATTAATCAATCAATCATTCCAACCTATCAATCAATCAATCAATCATTTCAATCAATCAATCAATCAACCACCTAATCAATCAGTCAATCAATCAATTTGTAACGAAATACATGAATGGAATTACCAGATGCAGTTGATAAAGGTTTTCCAATGGACTTAAGCTTCTTGATAACTTGTGGCGTGGAAAACGTATAAAGTATTGGATTGATGGASGAGTTCACAGGCAGAACGAAGACTGCTATCCACGCATATACCTCACCAGAACGATCCGTGTAAGAACCAGCGAGCGATAAGATACCAATAACAATGACTGGCATCCAACAGCAAAAGTCAGTCATCACCACAAACACGACTCTTCTGCCCAAAGAAGACGACTTGGTTCTTGAATTGCGCACTTGGCTGGCAGATCGCTGCACTTTAAAGAAAATCATTGTGTACGCGATGAATATAAAGAAGATCGCAACACCATTAAAACCGATRAAMACACCAACGGAGTACTCCCAGCCAGCGGACAACTCTGAGGATAACTGGAATGGCAAGCAGACGGTAGAGCGACCAAAGAACGTAAACCCAGTTTTGTCGTCAGAGAAGTATTCCGGTAGAAACACAGGTATGAATGCAATCAGGAACCCTACAATCCATATGAACATGCACAGYACGCGYGCAAAACGTAAGTTCAGACGTTTGGCTCTGAAGTCAAATATAATGGTATTAAAGCGATCTGCTGTCATRGCAACCAGCATCATTACTGACACTTCGCTTGATAACGTTGAGAGACCTCCTGCCATCTTACACGTGACACCTGACCGCCAATCAACATCGTGCTTGAAGTAGGAGCCTTTGAATATCATGTCTTGTATGGCGATTATCATAAGGTARATACCCATAAGGAAGTCAGCCAACGCAAGGTTTATCAAAAGAAAAGACTGGACGTCGGCTTTAGCGCTTTGTTTACTTTTATCTTTTCCAAGCGTCCACCAAATGATGACCGAGATGTTGCCAATAGTGGCRATGATAGCTTGYAGCCAAATACCCACCCTGATAATCGTCCTTTTTAACATGTCATCGCAGCTCGAGAATGCGTTTGCATTTGATTTACAGTCTAGGTTGGGGATTGAATTGGATGCGTAACAACACAGAATGAAGCTATCAAGTGACCTAGAAATGGAAAATTGGTAAATATACGCTTCATACTTGTATCCAATCAATCAATCAACCAACCAACCAACCAATCAATCAATCAATCAACCAATCAATCAATCAACCAACCAACCAATCAATCAATCACTCAATCACTCAATCACTCAATCACTCAATCAATCAATCAATTAATCATTTCATCGATTTTTGCCCATCAAACTCACAAGTGTTTCAGGTTGTCCAAGTTATCAAATACATCCTGTGAAATCGTCGATTCTTTGATAGGATTATTGTGAAGCGTTCTGAAATAAGAAACAACGACTATCGTTATGAACCGACCAGGCGAACAGCAAGTAGCCGACACATCGACCGACCGATAAAACCGATTAAAACCCAACGTGTTTTTAAAATACTTACAAGTTATTGAGATTCTCGAGACCCTTGAATGTCGACTTGCTGAATGTCGTGATCTTGTTAGAGTGAAGGGTTCTGCAAAGAAATGTCGTGAAGATCACCAAAAATAGAGTTTATTCTCAAGYATACTTACAGGATTTTCAATTTTTGCTGGTTACGGAACAAACCATCTGGGATAACACTGATCTTGTTGTCATGGAGATATCTGAAATAACAAAATTATTTCSTCGTTTAATAAAGCAGTTTGTTTTAATAAATGGACAGCAGATCGTACTGTGTCTACAATCCAAGGATTGGAAACTCTTGTCGTAACACTTTCGTAGTATTTCGTGACCGCATCGTAGTATTTCGTAGCTGTGTCGTAATGTTTCGTAACAGTAGTAGTCAGTTCGTGACCGTCTCGTAGTATTTCGTAGCTTTGTCGTAATGCTTCGTAACAATAGGAGTCAGGTTGTGATAGCATCGTAGTATTTCGTAGCAGTATCGTAGTATGGTCGGTTTCCCATTCATACCAAAATCTGCCATAATACTCACAGGTAAGTAAGATTTGTGTTATTTTGAAAAATGTCCACATCGAGTTCTTCGATTGAGTTACTTCGAAGGCTCCTGAAAAAGAGAGAGAGAGAGAGACTATTTTAAGCTCTTGAGATATAATTACCCGCCCTTCTCCACCTCAATCTTCTTCGGGCTTTGAACGGCTGCCTACTTGGCGAGATATAGAAGGTGAAAGATAACACATTCTGGTGAGAATTATCGTCTCATTTGTCGGCAGTATTTTTCGTCAAAAGCAGATTCCTTTGGAAATAGTTTTTCTTCCTATTCCTATTCAACCATTTCCAATCTACGATTCCTCCCTCACCTGTGATTATCAAGGTTCTCACAGAATGACTTATTAAAGCAAATCAGATTTGTATACTTACCAACCTCGTTCCCATGGCCTTATCCCTTCGCTTGGGGTCAAGGCCCTGGGGACGAGGTTGTATACTTACAGCAAAGACAAGTTATTAAAATTCGAGAATGCATTCCTTGCAATAGAAGATATCAAGTTTTCGCCAATATCTCTGAAATATAAGTACGAGAAAACCAATCAGCAATGTGGGATCGAGAGGATAACAGAGCATGCGTAATGCGGTACAACTATCCATGTTGAATCATCCAATCATGTTTGAGGATGTATTGAGGTTTCATAGTACATACATGCTTTGCAGGTGTCTTGTGTCGACCCATATGTCCTCTTCGAGTTTCTTGATGTAGTTTCTGTTCAGTCGCCTTGAAAAAGACACGAGTGCCGTTAATAAAGGGAAGAAATTTGAAATGAGAAAAACTTTCTCATGATGGGAAATTTCTTTACTTACAAAACCTTGAGTGATGGCAAGTTCATAAGGGACTTCTGTTCGATTGTGAGAATTTTATTAAAGCTCAAGTCACTGCAAGAAGATAAATCACTTAGTTTTCAATCAAAAATTGTTGAATGTCAAAAAGATAAAATAATTGCTTGATACCAAGATAAATGAATGAATGAATGAATGAATAAAAGAAAGGAAAAATAGAAAGAATGAATGGATGAACGAATGAACTAACTAACTAACTAACGAATGTAATGATTCAGCTATCTGAATCTCCGCTAGTCATAATACCATATAAGGGTACAAACATCCATATAAGGTAAAACGTACTTACACGTATTCAAGACGTTGTAGATTACTCAAGCTTTCCAATTCGAGTTGAAAGATTTTGCTTCCATAAAACAAACTATAYAAATAATCATAAAAGAATATCATCAAATGTACAATTTTAATTTTCATTCATAGCCMACGAAAAACATGAAAATGATGGATTTTTGGTCGAAATACATGGACTATTGCCCACAAAAATCATGACTAAATGTTATCTTTTTCTAGAGTCTGTATCTTACAGTGCGATTGAGTCTTTGGGTAAGTGCTCAGGGACTGCTCTAAGTGTAGTGGATGACACAACGATACCAGCTTGTTCCGATAGTCGTTCACAGACGCAATCTGCAGGACAATCTGAGAAAAACGATTGAATTCTTTAACGAAAACTTGCACATCATGAATTGGTCAAATTTATTGTGAGAATGGCTGCTACATTGTCAAACATTGTTTTCTTCATTACATGTGGCTCTTACCTTGAACACACCCTGAATCGTTTTTCTCGACTAGAAAAATAATAGCACAAATTACTATGTTAGGTAATAAATTCAGTACGAAAACCTTGCTCTGTATCTCTTTGATAACACTATCAGGAACGCCTTCCAAAATAAAATGAACTTTTCCAAAATGGTATTTTCAGAGTAATATCGACTTTTTTTGCTTACAATTTCGGTACTCTCAGTCAAAAATGTGTAAATTATCTTAGGGTTTAATCACGAAAATTATGCCGTATAATCTTTCATCTTTTGTAGAAATGGTTATGAAAATATTTGTAAAATCATCATTTAATATTCGAGAGACAAAGACATTGTTAAATGACTTTTATTATTCTCAAGTCACTTACCTTTGATGAAGTGATATTTAGCCATAAACCCTGAACGAACGGTGTCTGCATTGCTATTAAACTCCAAGAGAAKGTTATTAGAGGTCGATTGAATGATCTTGGGGTATCTAAAATGAAACAAGAACTTGTTTTATAGTTTTTATCATGGTCTTGAACAAAATTTTGCCAGTTAGAAGATAATGATGAAACTTCCAAACCTTACCCTTCGCCACAATATCGACCAATCATAGGCGAAGAAGGYGTTTTCCCATCATGCACCTTTAAGTAATCGTTTTCGCATCGCGGGCTCATTTCCAGTTCAAATTCTTGGAATTCCAATTTAATCACGTGGTTAGGCTCTGCTTCGATAGTCCATGTGCAGTTAGCATTGTTGCTATAGTAACCAGGATAATACGGCGAGATGACGTATCCTGTACTYGATGTTAAAATTTCATTGCAGGCTGAAATTATAATAAAAAACTTGTTTTCACACTTGGTTTTCGTCATGTAATAGTTTTTTAATTAGTTTTATGAGCTGACTAGAATGTAACTGTACCGAAGCTATACTTTTATCTGGTTTGCTCTTTTCAACCCGGCTTGAAAATTACTATACCTTTGTCCGGCTTGCTCTTCTCAACCAAGCTCGAAAATTGCTCGGGATTCATAAAAAAAGAAACCCTCAACACTTTTTTACCTTTCTGTGCTTGACTGGGTATTGTGGGACAGTATTCATCTTTCGTATAAAGAGCTCCTATGGAAAACAACCCTGGGCCATTTTTGGTCTTGCCTTCTATGATAATCTACATATTGAACRAATATAAAACATTAGCATGTGTACTATCCGTTTCTCATCCCTCTCAAACTATCGTTGTTCTTTCCACGGATGTGCGCAGGCTAAATGTCATGTGCGCATACGTGATTGAGCAAAAATTACGGACAACAKTTTACAGTGTTAGAGAACCCTTATCTTTGTTTTCTCTATACCTTAAAGTCCGATAAACCAGACAACGACACTTGACCGTCCCGCCATGCACCAGATTTGTTGTCGTCATCCGTCCATATCGGTCTCCTTGGCAACCCGTTCTCAAGTTGATCATCTTGATACAGCTTAAGAGCACTCGCTCCATGCCCCCACAGCTTGTACCTAAACCTAAGGCATTTTMTTGGTGATTCAGATGACCTTTGGTATCGCGGGCTTACATATGTTGCAGTCTTGGTAGTCGTTGTATCGGTGTTTGTAATTAAGCCGAGGATGTTTCCTGATAAAAAAGATGTTCCTTATTGAAGTAACGTAAAAACACAAGAACTAAAATCTRACRATCTTTCCATTTAAGCGTGAAATYATATTGGTGGAGAACCCGGGRGTAAATGTAATARCAATTAGTTAGTTTCCYCTACCTTGTTTMCCAGTACACGTYGAGTTKTGTCGAGTGACTGCACCAGGAGGGTTTGTTTTAMGRAACTCTTCCCAATTCACCACATTTCCCTTATGGCTCGTGCATTTGTACGACATGTAGAGAAGCTCTTCATCTTCCAGAATTGTATCCCATATATTTAGATTAGTGATAGACAGCCGTGACGTTGAGTTAGAGGTAAAACTAAAGGTTATTGTCGCGTCTGAAAAAAAGAAAAGAAAAGAAAAGATAGCAGAAATGAGGAGAAAATGGGACTGAAAGAGAAAGAAAAAAAAGAAATAGAAAAGAAAGGATAGCAGAAATGAAGAGAAAATGGGACTAAAAGAGAAGGAAAAAAAAGAAAAAGAAAAGAAAGGATAGCAGAAATGAAGAGAAAATGAGACTAAAAGAGAATGAAAAAAAAAAGAAAAGTAAAGATAGCACAAATGAAGAGAAAATGAGACTGAAAGAGAAGCAAAAAGTATATTTACTGGATAATGTCTTCATGTCGTGAAGCAAAGTCTTGTAGTCGTCCGTCGCAACACCATCGACGTAAAACTGCCAAACACCGTATGCAGACTTCCACGTAAAGCACAAGTGTCGCCAAGTGTTTGGTGTACCCCTACGAGAGAAYAGAAAAAATAAGAATGGAAACACTATAGGAATGGAAACAACAATGTTTGTAATAAATGAATACTATTATCATATTTAGCTGTTGAACTGCGGCGACTATTTGTGATCAGCTCGCGCTTTAACGTTACCCCGATAATAAGTACATCCCCGGTGATATACGGATACTCCGATATCAATGATAWCMCGTGATACGGACACCCCGATATTAAGGACATCCGGTGATTTACGGACAYCCCGATATTAAGGACATCCGGTGATTTRCGGACACCCCGATATCAAGGGCACTCCGGGATAACGGAAATGTGTCAATTTCTTCGCTCGTAAGAAAGGAAACTCTCTTTACATCGGACACTTAATTACGTTCGCGAAGGTATCCGATATATTGAGAGTCGATTGTACTCGTAGTGTTCAAATTGCAACGTGTCCGTTACGTAATCGTAACGTGTCCGTAACGTAATCGTAACGTGTCCGTAACGTAATCGTAACGTGTCCGTAAAGTAATCGTAACGTGCCCATATGATACCGTTGATACCTCTGAGTTTCAAGAAATGGTACTCACGTCAATGTAACTGCATAGCCAGCACTGTTGATATCCACTGCTAGGCTCACTGATGAAGTGTTTAAAAATGACAACCAAAGGCAAACAGTCAACGTCTTGAATTTCCCTATTGTATAAACTTTGAAAGAGGCTGATCCGTTTATCAGGAAATCAATGTGGCTGGCCTCGTTCGCGACGTCTAGAAAGTGAAYCAGATATGTATTAAGAAAAATAAACAAAAATAAAGTAAAAACGATGGTATATTACCCTGCTCAGGAACCCCAATTTTGTCTGAGATATCTTGGAATTGCTTTTCTTTGAGTAGACCCCACTGTAAATCGGTTGAGTTGTTGAGCCAGTTTTTCCATTCTTCGATAATATTAAKTTTTTTTACTTCCATTTCTACCAAATAAAACACATTTATCAATTAATGGTAACACTTTTCTTCACTTTTGTTATCTTGGAAAAAGAACGCAGTCAAAAAGTGTTMGCGTGACAGTAACGCAACATAGASCAATGCGTCACACAGGCAGTGTAACAGATTTCTGTGCAYCAGTATGTAGAAAGCGTGACAGAGTGGTAATATGTCAAGGYGCTGTCAGTAGAGTGWCCGTTGTATCAAGTGAGTCGTKAATAAACTGGATTAAAATACACTAAAAGGAATATATAATAACCTTGTAACGCAACGCCTGTACTCACCATGATTATATGAGGAACAATACTTCATGTCACTGTAGCTTATACCAAAATTCGCGAGCTTGTATACCACAAAATCACCACAGTTTCTGACRGTGATAGCACCTTTACCTTTGTCGCATGTGCCTTTAAATCGTAGATACAAYGTCCTCTTTACTGGACCTTCCTGGACAGTTGGTATTGAGCCATTGATCCAAGCTTGTATTTGTGCTGAACAACCATTTGTAATGTTAACGCATTTCTGAGATATATGGTTGCCTGCGTTTTTCCTGATTCGGTACCAGTTCTTCAGGCTGAGCATTTCGTCGGTTAGGGCGCCGCTTTGAATAGTCTCCTTTTCTCTACGTTCATGAGTGTCGAGGTTTCTGTATAACCTRCATTCCTCTCCCAGTACTGTAGAGATAAAATAGCTAATTAGGCACGCGATTAAAAAATGCGACTCTACCAGGGAAGTTGGTTTCGTCCTATGTGCATTAACAGAAATATGAAAGTGATATCTTTAATTTACCTGGTATTTTTTGGCAATCAAATTTGGACAATGTAATTTCGTCCAACGCCAATACAGCACCGCTATCCATAGAGCCTTGGATRACCACCTTTAGAAATAGACATTACACTTTAGTCTCGTTTTCAAACAGTTTTCAAAGCAAGAAATAATCTGGTCATTGCTCTCTTGTATAAAATTGCAAAAATTATTTCAATTTGCGATTTTTTTCGGGAGATCCATTTTTTAGCAATCGTCTTTCGTCAAAAACTAATCTCCATCCTCTCCAACAAAGGCCTTATGCGAGTCCTGAAGTCGCACTAAATTGCCTTTAATTATATACAATAATCTGTTTGATGTTTTCTTACGTCGCCTAAACTATCGCCTTAAGAGTCCCAAAGTTGCCGTAAGGAATAAGGCCTCACCCTAACACAAACCCAACCCGTCGAAAAACTTTTCCTAATATCTTAATTACCTTTAAGTTTTCTTTATCTTGTGGTAGAGGTTGCTGTACATAAGTCCATCTATTATCGATACTGCTATAGCTTGATACAAGTGTGCTTGCGTTGGTATTATTAACGAAAAAGAYCTCTACTTTTCTACTCAAATGCGCCTCTCCACTATAAATCCAAAATCGCATGCACCTCCATCCATGGGCCTTGGGGTGAATCAAAGGACTTGATATCTTGCCTACAATCTTCTTGGATGAGAGGGACTGGGAGAGCTTTAAGTACGAATCTGATTGGAAAAATGAACAGCTATTTTAAATAGTGGATTATGAGTCACTGTTTGCAAATAAAGCAAGAACAAGACGAACAAGAACAAGAAGAATGACAACAACAAGAGGGACAACAATGAGAACAAGAGTAGAGGAAAGAGAAGGAGGATAAGAAGAAAAAACAAGAAGGAAGAATACAGAAGAAGATAAAAAACACGAAGAACAAGAACACTGAAGAAGAGGAACAACAAAAAAGAGTGAACAGCAACAACAAGAATTRTACAGGAAGAAGACGGAAGGATACGAAAACATAAAGTACAAGGAAAAATAAAGAAGAGAAGAACACGAAAAACAAGAAGCCAGTCACAGCCACGAACCTTTCTGATGTTTCTGCTTGTAACCTGTTTGTAATTTACTCGATTCTAGTTTCCACTGACTGTCTATTGCCCACGAACATTTCTCGTTGCCGTCAAAATAACAATTAGGAGGATCTAGAGAGAGAAATTGTCAAAAATCTCTAATAATAAGCATTAAAGAAACCATGAGAGAAAGAAAAGAAAGCACAAATTGGAACTGGCTCGAACACATTATTAGGTGCTATAAAAACAGGATTGTATGACAAATTAGGCTGCCGTAAAACGGAYCAAAAACAGCATGGCAGATATATGTGATGAGGGAAGAAGAAAATGTGTTGCTGGGAAAATGGATAACGACGCAAAGAGAAACAGCGCTGGACTCTGAGGAAACGACGTGTGTAAGCTTTAACTGCCTAATGGTATGAATAGACAATAAGCCATGATACAAACCTTGAGTTTTGATTATGGAACATTTTCCCTCAATAAAGTTGAGATCATCCAAGGCAACATAGCGTTCACTTGAATAACCAGTTATCATCAACTAAGGAAGAAAAACACGATGCATTTGTAAACGTATCTCATTTATACCATAGCCATTATAAATTTTTTTGTCTTACTTGTCCAATAGAATTACCAGGTATTTCTACCTGGCCAAATGACCATTCGTCAGACACACCTCTGCGCATGGCCCAAAGAGTAACCAAGCCTTTTGCACTGTCAAGACGTATTTCTAGTGAAGAATCTGAATTTTTTGGAAGAATGTACCAGAATTGAAAACAGTAAGGAGATGACTTGGTCCACTTTTTTGTCACTTGGCTACTTGTTTTATTTTTGCTCGGCTCCAAGAGATATAAACTACCTGAAATGATAAAAAATGGTCAGTGTACAAATCAGTCTCCTATGTGAGCCTGCATTCCTCTTGACCAGCGGCGAGGAACAAGCCGCAGACCCAGAACAACGCGGGCTTGGAGAGTAGATTATCACAACAGCATTAAAATATTTTTTTCATCTGTACCATCGTTTTCGTTCATCGAATGATCGTAGCTCGGATATCCATCTTTACCAGCAGGAGTATATATAACCCATGGGTGGGTGGAGTTGGTAGAAAGTCCACATGGACCATTGTCAAAACCACAAATACCTAAAGTGTATCAAAGATAAATGTGGTTTAAAAATTGATCTGGAAACAAACGAACAACCATGCCTCGTTAGGGACCACAATATCGAGTGCCCTATGTAGCTATTATCATGCAGTAATTTCTTTAAAGCAGAGATTAAAAGGCGTCCGTTATAACGAGGTGTCCGTAATGTGGAGGTGGACTAAATTTCAAAAACGGTTATAAAATCCAAAGAAATCTTATTGATTTCAAAGACTGCAGTTTTAATTAAGTTGGAACCCCTCCACATTTGGAGAAAATTGAATTGATTCTAAGAAAAGGTATTAAATTTACATTCAAAGATCATTGTAGCTCATACTRGGCAGCGTTTGAACTCTAGAACTATAAATTTTATCATTGTACAGCGAAGCTTCCACCCACCTTGTAGCGACTGACACTGTGAATCAAGCTGCTTTCCACATCTTTCAATATCACGTGACTTGCAATATTCTGTAGATTAATAATCATAGTTGATGCTGATGATTCTAATGATGACGATTACATGATGGTAGTTGTAAACGATTCAGGTAAAGCAATATGTCCTTACTGCACTTTGAAAAGAGATGAGATTTGTCTTCGCAGACTGTRGAGCTGCARGAACCAGTGACGCATTCRCCATCAAAACACTGATGACCTTTACAGGATTTTTCTGTTCAGAAAAACAAAAAGTCAAGAGTTTTTCTTCAGCATTCATCACTACCTTKGCAAGTCCCAATAATAAAGAAAMGTTTTCAAGTGTCAAAGTGGCAGAAAAGCCGCTGAAAGTACGCAGCTTTGTGCCTATTATCCTTTGATATCACTTACCACACCGTTCTTCATCCTCTCCTTTGCTGCAGTCAGGATGACCATTGCAAAGTTGTTTGTACTCAATGCAATCGTTGTTAAGACATGTGAAATATCCAACCGGACAGACACATCCATCTTCGTCTGAGTCATCGATGCAATCTTTGTCGATATTGCAGCGGTATTTTTTATCAACACAGCGCTTATTGTAACACTGAAATTGCGTTATTTTATTACACTGGAAATCTGTAAAAATAAAGTTATCAACACAGTTATTATTGTAATGGTATATTATTGTTCATACTCCAATTTTAAAAGAACTTTCTCATTCAACGTCAGCGTAGCTTTATCTGAGTCGCACTAAGTATTCTTCGAAGCCTACCCAATTTTTCGGGCTTCCTTTCCCTCCCAAAATAGAGAAACATAATAAAAACCTTTTTGCGTCAAGAATCTATTAATTTGTCTCTCACATGGCGCTGAATTCCAATAAGCTGCAAGCTTGAAATAAATCGACTTTATATGTTAAAATTGTTCGTTTTTGTAACTCCCTACAGAATCACACAATTTAATTAAGGTAAGAATGGTTCAGTACCGTTCGTTCCTTTACCTGGYTTAGCATGAGTCGGAAGAAATTCGCATTTAGAAGTTGAAACTTCAAAGTTTTTAATGGCAACCGAAGCGTTGTTGATTAATGATTTGCTCTTGAATACAATCTATGTACAGAAATGATTTGTGTTATTCGATTTTTTCACCTTGATAGTAAAAAAACTTGGATTGGACTCATTGGGCCAGGAGGTGTACTGGGAGGGGGTACTGTTGGGGGAGGAAATGAAGTGAGGTGTACTGGGAGAGGGTACT